CAGAAAGTTTGCCCAAGAATAGTATCACAATACTCCTCCTCACCATTCCTTTTTTTAAAGACTTGAGACATTTCCAAATGAAGGTTTACATACATGAGCAGACTATTAATAGCATGCCACAAAATTCTAAAAGAGAAGGGCAGAGTGAGCGTTTGGAGGAAGAAAGGGGGAGAACAAGGGAGAGAGAACAGTAGAAGGATGGGAGAGGGAAGGAAGGGCCGGGGAGGCGAGGGGAGATAGAGGCCAGCCAAGGAGAGGAAGACATTAGCGACAGACAAGATCTTCAGAAAAACCAACCAGAGATGTCCTTCGATGCACTTCCTACCCAAAGTGTACTTTCAGGGCAGTTGCTTCAGGGAATGCGACCTTGACTACCAAGGAGGGGCAACCAGCCAAACAATGACAAGTACATTTTTTAAAGCCTCCAAATGAACTAAGTTATTTGGCTGCTTTCAGCACTGACTTCTCCAAGATAAAGCATGTTTAATATATTTGACTGCCTCTGGGCTGACCAAGAAGCCTTCACCAAAATGAACTTCTGAAAAATTATCATGTATGTACATAGAAAGAAATGTATATAAGATAGTGCTGAATGTTATTTCAGAGCTACAATTTAAGTCTCAGATTTCATTTTCATTTTTAAAAAATGCTAGTGTCAACACTGATATTATGTAAAACAAGTATTATAGTATCTATAAATCCTATCCATTTCCCCATAATGACCTACAAACCTTGGGCCTTAATCAGGAATAATCAACATAAGATTTACTTTCCAAATACTAAGACTATAGTCTGTGCATGTATATTATTTTTATGACAAGACAAATGAACCAATATAGCCAGTGCCACACAGATGTTTATGACAATGAGCTGGCCTCCTTTTATAAAGGGTTGGGAAGGTGGTTACAATGGTGAAGGGACACACGAACTTTTAAAAGGACATGCAGTTAAGTCAAGCTACAAGGGGCTTGCATTCAGGTTAAGCAGTTTGGAATGTCTCTCTGGCTATGGCAGAACGTGGAGGAAATTTTAGCAGCAGCACACCAGGATCAAAGAGAAACTATAGAAAGGCAAAACTATGAGAAACACATATGATATTTCACAGGTCTCAAGCTAAATGATGAGCAGAGGGATGAGGGCTTGAAGACCATACTTGAGACCACACTTGAGAAGACAAGGCTGAGATATGGATGCAAGAAACATTAACCAGTAAGAATTTTAGGGCTTTCCGCCTGGTGAATAACCACTTACTAATATTAGGGGAGTACAGTAGAAGACACAAAGAAAAATAGAAAATGAGAGGGAGGAATATGAAATTATTTCCAGGGTGACAGAGAAAATGATGGTACTGTTAATAGAAACAAAGGTGCAAATGACATCTTTTGGTGAAAGAGAGTTCATTTTTAGTTAAACTGAGGTAAAACGAACTAGTCACGGAGAAATAATCCAGTGGCAGTTGGAATCTGAAATTAAAGCTCTACTTTCCTATGTACAGCCAGGACAGCAGCTGTGGTTTAAAAACTCCCCAGGTGTTGCAAACAGGATGGCTGAGAAGCACTGAATGTTCTGCAGGATCTTCTGCTACCTGAGCCTACTCACCCACACTTTGTCTTTGAGATCAGAAGAACAGGAAGTAGCTGTTAATAAGACTCCTTTAGTTCTAATTTAAGGGAAAAGGGCAAGAATTCCAATCCAGTGTTACTCATTACCAGCATTATTGAAAAATAAATTTATCTGAAATATGAGACCTATATAATTTCTATTTTAATAAAGAACAAAGTTGTTCAATTATTTTATTCTGAAAAACTTAAAATCTGAAGATAAACATTAAATGGAGTTTGAATGTCATACCTATCTTTTGATGCTCCCCTTCACCTTGCTCCTCAAACCCACACCAATCCTTCTCAAACAACTAAATCAATCCTTCTCAAACACAATCCTTCTCAAACAACTTGTGTCACCTCTGGTGGCGCAAGAGGTTAAGTCTCAGCACTCTGAAGCTATCCGCAGCCACTACAGCATGAGTTCCATCTCGAGCCAGGAAGCTAGCCCATATGGCACAGTAGACCTCTACTGCCTTGCCCGCTGCTCCCCTCAGCAGTGTATTTCAGTCACTCTGCCTGTTCTGTTCCCCACTCTGTCTCCAGTGAATCCTATCATCCCCCTGCACCCCTGGCCTGCACCCTGGCTCTTGTATGCATAAATAAATAAATCTTTTAAAAAAAAAAAAACTGCAGTCTCTTCCAGCTTCAGTTTCTTCACCTATAAGAATGAGTTTCTATATTGCCCCATTTCCCCGGTGTGTGTGTGCCACAGAATGAAATGAGACATCCTAGTAAAAGTGCTCTGTAAATTATAAAATAGGATAACAAATAAAAATGTCACTACTATAATTAAACCTAGGGTACGATTTTCAATTGCTCCAATAATTCTCTGTAACTTTACTTCTCAGCCTGTGATCTTTAAATTTTACCAAAGTTCTTCAATATAGTAACTACAAATTAATGCATACAGAAAAAATATGGAGTGCTAATTTTTTATTTTTCATAATATTTAAATCACTATTCTTGTGATTTTTATTTTTCACTTCAAACCTAAGACTCATTTCTGGAGAGATTTTCTGGAAAAGTCACCTTAATATTTTTGCTTAGTACTTTATTTTGCTATCTCTTTAAAAATCATTCACTCGTCTGTTTTTACAACATGGAAATTATTCAATAATTTTTTTTACAAAAGAAAAATAAGACATAAAACAATTTCATAGCTTGCCCCAGATACTAAGACACCTATAGAAACTGGAAGCAGAAGGAATAGACTTCATTACATTGCTTCCTTACTAATCCAGGCATTCTTCCTTCAGAAGAAAAGAATCTTTTACTAGCAAACACTTTCGTATTATGTGGATTTTTTTTTTCTTTAGGAGTTTATAATCACACCAAGAAACGAGAATGAATGAAGCTTGTAATGTTATAAATGGCATTTGCCATGTACTTTGAATTCCAATACTTGTAAAATGTAAAAGTACCTTTTTATAAAATTAGGTGTAATTTTAAGTTTATCTTTGTTAAATGTGACCAGTCAGTAGGTAGAAGCCTTTGTGTCTATTTAGTTTTCAAAAAACCTTAAAGTTGATTTGTGCTTTTTAAGTTACAACTTACCAGTCTACCACTTCAACACTGATGAAGATTTCAAAATACTATCTGAAACAAAACCTAAGTTCAAGTTTCCCTTACCACCAAAAGCCCACTTGGGAAGTCATGTAAAGCTGTGGTTATACTTCACTCCATGACCACAATGACTGATCAAATATTAGCCATCATGCCTTATAAAATAAAAACAATAAAATAGTAAATAATTCATTCCAATAGTTCAATGTTACTGCATTTTCAACAGTACATACACTTAAAGTTTATCATCTTGTCATGTAAATTTACACCACTAAACTCAGAACTTGTGCAGAATAACAACATTCACAAAGCATTCCAGTGAAGTACTTAAGTGTAAACTCTTGACAACAGATATGTAGCTTCAAAAGTATTAAAATTTCCATGCAAATTAAATCTAAAAAAGCACATTTGGGAGCAACTAAAATCTCTGTACCTCAAAGACACACACCTAAAATATCTGGTAACAAAGAGCTTTCAAAATAAAAGATAAGGTTGAAAAGACTATTGAATCAAATGAGAAGGTTTGTATATGCTGCCCAAAATTAATGGTTATTTTTATTTTGGAAAATATGTGCTCGGATCCCATAGAAAACAGGGAAGCTGGAAACAAAATTGAGTTCATTACATACAACAGTGTCTAGGTTCCACTGACTGTTTGCAATTTAGTTGTTGCTGCAAAAGCTGTCACCAAAATGAATGGTATCCAGTAACAATCAGAAAGACCCTGAGTCTTGAATCTTCTAATAACCTTAGGAAACTATTTGGATCATCCTCAAATGAGGCAGACATGAGTTGGAAAATGGTCCTATCCCACTCCTGACCATCAAAATTATCCTCCCCCATAAAACACAAGACTTTAAAATACAGAGAAAATTTAGAAACAAAAATATACTGTTACAATTATAAGAACTTAGAAAGAATCCCAAGAACACGTCTCCTTGAAGATAGGATTTAAACATCAGAAGACAACCAAAGAACACTCATTAAATCAGTACTTCTAAAGTTAATATGGGGGTGGGGTGGTGTGAATGATGTCAGCCTTCAGTAAAGTCAGAGACAACTTTTAATCCAATAATGACAGCTGTCACACATCCTGACGGTGATTGCCACGCGAAGTGTTGGCAATCTGAAAATATAACTGAATTCTAAAATATTAAGTTCCAAAAGACCTGCAGTGAGTGAAAACTGCAAACACCCTAGTTCTTTGTGAACAATGACCTAAATAATAAAACACTATAAAAAGAACAGATGACACATTCAATTCATCTGCTCCCCTCAAACGAGCAAAAAGTCTGACAGTCCCAGAGATAAGACAAAAAGAACTTGGTAGGACAGTATGGTCATTTTAGTGATCATAATGTCTAGAAAAGGAGTAAATGAAAAGAAACAGAATCAGGCTCAGAGGCGGAGAAGAATGGGGGAGGGCTTGGTGAGGGAGAACGAGCAGGACGGGTGTTTGCAGAGAAGGGATACAGAGAAGGCTAGCCCACCGCGGAGAAGAAGAAGTTAGGCGAGGAAACTGACCAAATCCGGGATCCTGGCAAAGGTGGTGCAGAGACCCACGGGACCAAGCACTTTCCTGAATTTTAAGCACAGGTCGACTTCAACGCTCTCCCTCAGAGGAAAGAAGAGGGAGGGAATTGGGTGGTGGGTGCCTCAGGATTTCATCTCCCCCAATTTTTCTACCTAAGCCTAAATCACCCTGTGGGGGGTAGGGGTGACGGGCGGACGACGCTGGGATCCCCCACCAAAGATCTCTCCCAGGGGGTAAACGAGGGTGGGTGCGCCTAGTGGGGGAGGGGGCCGACTCCCCTGCCAAGTGTGGCCACTTACGAAGACGCGCTGGGAACGAAGAAATCCACCGCGAAGCCGAAGTAACTTCCCTCAGGGCCGGAGTACTCGGCAGGACTATCCACGTCTAGGTTGAAGGCGCTGCTGAGAGGCAACAGCAATCCGGGGAGAAGAAGTAGGAGGCGGCGAGGGCGAAGGCTCAGCAGTCGCCGCGGCAGAGAAGCCATCGCCACAGTGCGCGCGGGGCGCCGAGCCCGGAGTCGCGGCCACCCCTCCCGGAGCGCACGGTGCCCACGGCCCGCCGCCTGGGCGCGCTGAAACTTGCCAGCCGCTCGCTCCCGGCGAGTCCGGGACAGCGCCAGGAGAGGCAGGAGGGCTGAGCTCCGGAGCAGCCGCCCGGGAAGTGGGGCGCAGGGCGCTGGGGCGGGGACAGCAGCACGGGCGGCCCCTCGCCTGCCTCCTGGGCCGCTCCACCGGGGGGGGGGGGGGAGGGGGCTGCCGGGGTAAGAGCCGCACCCCCGGCGGGAGAGCTCCGGCTGGCAGTGGGAGGAGGCAGGGAAAGAAGGAGGAGCCAGCTCGAGCCGAGCCGCCCCGCCAGAGGAAGTGGGGGAGGAGGTTCATCCTCCTACCCGAGCGAGCCGCGCGCACTTCCGTGCGCGGTCGCTCTGTCCAGAGAACCCGGTGGCTGCGCGGAGGCTCCAGACTCTCAGAGCCCTGGATTGCTGAAGAGCTGCTAGAATAACCCTCAAATCCAGCCTCCGGAGGGTGCGGGGGATGGGGATGAGGGTGGTAAGGGTGGTCCAGGGGTAGTCAAGCGTTTCAACTGGCGTTTCAACCTGGTGGCTTCCATCCTAGCGCCTGGCCAACTCCATGGCCCCTGCTGGTGCAGAGAACGTCCCTGCGATTTTTGTTTTAAAGGGAGGAAGGTTTTACCCGCCTTCTCGTGTTTCTGCTACTTGAAAACCTGGCAGGCTCTCACAAACTCTGTAGTTAATGGTCGTGTTCCTCCCCCACTCTGTGCAATACACAAACACTGAACTTAATTATAAACTTCCAGAATGCTAGCACAGCCTCTTCCAGACGAGTTGTGTTAAAGCTAAACTGAAGCGGTCCACGAAAGAATTGGCGAGCCAAAGAATGGGCAGTAATCCTTTTAAATCAAGACTTATTCCTACTTTATTAACTGGAGCTGCATAATTTCCAGTAGCCTGTCGATTTAGAACGTGAGATACAAATACAATTTCATAGTTAGAAGAAGGGATATGCAACACTGAAATAAGGCCCCTTGTGACTTGCTTGCTGTGGGTATGTTCTGCCATACCCAAACCCTTCATGCACAGCTGAGAGACTTCTTTGCAGGCAGGAGTCTTGATCTTTTTCTTTATATTCCCAAATCCTAGCGTCTTAAAATAATGAATGAATGACTAAACGAATGAATGAGGGAATGGAGACGAAATGATGAGGAAACTTTGCCCAGAGAAGTGATTTTCCCATATTGTGTATCACCTGTAAAGAATTTGGTGAACAAGACTGAAAGGCTAAATGCATCGTGTAGACCTAAAAAAAACTTACAAGTACTACTACGGTAATTTGGGATTGTTTTCCCAAAGTAACTGTTAAAGCTCAATCACAATACACATTAATTAAGTTTAATTAATCCTGTGAAAGTTATGTGGATTTAACATGCAATGTCGGATTTAAATTTACAGTTCTTAATTACATTGCATATACTTTGATGTTTAAATTAAACTAAAAGATGCGGAGCAAAACCTTGAGTATGTTTTACAAGTCATAGTCAAGCACTTGTATGAAGGAAATTACAATGTGAGACACTCAATCCTACATAAATACTTATACATACAAATGTAACTTTCTTCTCAAGATGTTCCCTAATTCATTAAAGAGATTGTGGGCATGTATGCACCCACAAACCCAAAGGGTCTTTATGCCTTAAAAGTCTGGGAACAAATCACTTTGGAAAACCATTCAGAGAGGGAAGGCAGAAGAGTGTGGAGGTTCAAACTCTGGTTGAACCCAGAAAACCCTCACACTCTTGAGTTCTAGGACTGAGATCCGACAGACCAGGGTAGAGGAGGAAAGAAATGAGGAGACCAAGAAGGGAAGGAACTAAAAAACAAATGCAACATCCACATGCTCATCCAAACTTGAGTAAATTTATAGTATCACATTTCTACTTGGAGACAGTGTACACATGCACACACTAACCTAATGCCTTAAGGTGCTCTGGGTTATAAAGTCAGGCATTTTTGTAATCTTTGTAACAGAATAGTCATGCTTAACCAATCATCTACCTTGCAAACTGAGTTTATTGCAGTACATATCAATTTTATCTTGCATATTCAGAATCCACAATGAGCATAGTGGAAAAAAACAAATTATTCTATGAAAGAAAAGCTATGGCTCTCCCTCATTCCCATGGCATGTGACTCTTTACAACAATTTTCCAACTAAAAAAAACCCTGCTATTTAATAAGGGCCCCCCCTGCTGGCACAGGGGTTAAAGTCTCAGCAATATCTATCTATTGCCAGCCACTGCAGCATATGCTTCTATCCCTGGGCAGGGAGCTCTCCCACATGGCATAGCAGACCTCTCCTGTCTAGCCCCTGCTCCCCTCAGCAGTGTTTCAGTTGATCTGCCTTTTTCTGCCTCCCACTTTGTCTCTGGTGAATCCTCTCACTCCCTTACCACCCTCTCCCCCGCCACCCATCCCACCCCTGACCTATAGCCCAGTTCTTATATGCATAGATAAATAAATCTTAAAAAAAAAAAAATTAGCAAACATCTAAAAACCTACTACACCACTGGAACATAAAACCTTTCAAAATCACTGCTTTATTTATATCATGAGTCATAGAAGGAATCACATGGTATAATTTTAAATGTTTCTGGTACTTGAGAGATGATTGCTAATACTTTGCTTCTAGTAATCATTTTATATAAATGTAGCCTTGCTATTACTGAATATTATAAAACCAAACATTTAACTCTTTTTTCTTTCAGATTTATGGTAAATGTAAACATTCATGACTAAAGTATTTTTAAAAACGGTAATCTACAAAGTTACACATATATTTTTCCCTTGGAAAATAGCAAGAAAATTTCATTAACGAGAAAACACACCATTTATACCTTGCATATGTATATATAATTCCCAAAGACATTTTCCTAAAGCTTTAATCCTCTTATTGTTTATTCTTAGTAATATTCCATCTAAATGATTATTAAAATATTTTCTTTTGTAAGTGAAATCATCTCCATGTCTCAAAAAGATATAGCTAAACATATGTCTATGAAACACAATTTTGCAGGGGAAATTTCAATATCAATAAGAAGATATAACAGCATTACATATACTAGTGAATATTATTAGTTAACAGCTATGAAACTTAGTACATATTACATTAGGATATACTTTTTCATGTTCTATTATATAAACAAGTATAAAAATCTGATTTTGAACACAAATATAACAAATTTATTCCCTTTCCACTTATAGAAACATTCCACTTAACTGATCTTATTAAATAATATGCTAGTCATTTATTTCTTCCTCAAATATTTGTTAAGTGCCCACTATATGCCCAACATTTTAATTGGAACTCAAATTACCAAAATAAATTGGACATGACCCCTGCTAGGAAACTGTAGTTTAATTAAGTAAATACTATGTAAATGATATTAGCTAACGTTTACTTAAGTACATGCTTTACTCTGTGCTAAGTGCTCTATTAAAATATATCACATGAGTTATTCCTCTTCATACTATTACTCCAGGTCGGTAATTTAACCCATTTTACAGATGAGAACAATGAATGTGCTACGTTAAAATATATTCCCTTCAAGAGGTGAAGTTTTATTGTCCACCCTGAGGTTGGACTGGACTTCATGAATTTTTTTAAATATTTATTTTATTTATTTATGCATACACGAGCTGGGGTGGAGACCAGAGATGCGGCTGGGGCAGGGAGAGGGTGATTAGATTCCCCAGAGACAGAGTGGGGAGCAGAACAGGCAGATCTACTGAAATACACTGCTGGGCGAGACAGGAGAGGTCTGCTGTGCCATGTGGGTCAGCTCCCTGGCCTGGGATCAAATAGTGCTGAGACTTAGCCCCTTGTACCACCAGGTAGGTCCTTCATGAATTGTTTTTTTTTAAGATTTATTTATTTATGCATACAAGAACTGGGGTACAGGCCAGAGGTGCAGTGGGTGAGAGGATTTACCAGAGACAGAGTAGGGAACAGAACAGGCAGACTGACTGAAATACACTGCTGAGGGGAGTCCCGGGCGAGCCAGGAGAGGTCTGCTGCACCATGTGAGTAGCTCCCTGGCAGGGGATTGAGCTGCATTAGCTGCAAATAGCTTCATAGGTCGCGTCTTAACCCCTTGTGCCACCAGGGAGGCCCATGCATTATTTTTAATGAGTATAATAAAAAAGAAGTGACTACAACTTTGGTTAGTAGATCACAAAAGGACTGTGGCTTCCTTCTGTTCTCCAGGATGGGAAGCCCGGTGCCCTGTTGTGAGAACAGACAAGCTTCCCAATAGAGAGACCATGAGGAGGGAGCTTGGGGCCTCCTCCCAGCAACCATGTGTGAATCATCCTCAAAGCAGAACTTTCTTCCCAGGTCTTCAGATGATAGCAGCCCTTGCCAACTTCTAACCTCAAGAGAGTGAAACAGAAACTGTTCATCTAAACTGCTCCTTAATTATTGACCCACTGAAACTGTGAGATAATGTTTATTGCTTTGAGTCAATCCATTTTAGGGATAATTTGTTATTTAGCAATAGATGACTAATATAATTGGTTTAGAGAAATCATGTAATTTGCACAGAACTAAAAACTATTGAAGATATCCTAGTCTGTCTATTGTACTAAAATGACCAAATAATTTATCGTCCAATTGGGATACTTCAGAGAATAATAAGGATACTGATAATAATAATTATCTTGGTATAATATGTACACACTGGAACTATCTAGGGCAAACTGGGACATAGGATCACCTATTGCTCATGTTTTTACTGCTGTACCATTCTATTTCTTACATAAATAAATATGTAATGTGACCGGACCAACAATGGAAGTGTAGCATGGGGAAATGATAATCCATCTGCTCTGACAAAGGCTGCTAGCTACCTGCCCAATATTCATTGTCCCTTTTCTGAGCAAATGCTTTAATTGTGTGATGGCAATATGTGTCTAGCTGGAAAAAAACAAAAAACTCTGTATATTCTAGCTCCCTTGTAGATGACCAAAAGATATCAATATGAGTTGTCAGTTGGAGATAGTAGGAAAGGCTTTAAAAGGGGAATATTTTTAATCAGGATTGTTTTTCCTCTGCAACTTCTTTTTCCTGCCTGCAATTTCTTTACAGCTCATGCCTGGGACATGGATGTGTTGGTTGGAGCTATAGTAGTCTCACTGTAAAC